AGTCCTCATCGATCAGGGATCAGAGGTGTCATTCATCTCAGAAAAACTAGTAAATCAACTGCACTTGTCCAGGAAATCAACAACGTTGGAATTAATCGAAATTGGAGGAGTTAATTCCGGCAGCACGAGAGGATTGGCATCAGTTACACTTCAGGCAATCAACGGAAATCAACAGGTTCAGATCAGCGTCCACATATTGAAGAAACTTACCGCAATTTTACCATCGTTCTCATGTGCCTCAGCGAACATCGAATTCATTAGAAAATCTCCAGCTAGCAGATCAGCAGTATCTCAAGCCCGGACCAATCGATATCATCATAGGAGCTGACAACTACGGGCGAATCATCAGAGATGAAGTTGTCAAGTCTAAGCAGTCAAAAGTCGTCGGCCAATGCACAGTCTTTGGTTGGATTCTATCAGGTCCAATCAACTGCACCGGTTGTTCAGCGAGGATCTCCATATCAGCTGTAAGGACCTCCTCAAACGAACAACTCCTAGAACTTCTCCAGAAATTTTGGGTCCAGGAAAAGTTACCAGTTCAGCAGTCAGGAAATTCAGAGTTATCACCAGACGAGCTGGTGTGAGAAACACTTCAGGTCTACACACAGCAGAGATTCCACGGGACGGTACATAGTGAGACTCCCGTTGAAAACCTCCACAGCAGCTCTCGGGGAGTCGAAATTCAAGGCTTCGCGTCAGCTCAGATCTACAGTCAGCAAACTCACCAATAATCAGGCATATGCTCAGCTGTACAAGGAGTTCATCAACGAGTACGAAACTTTGGGTCATATGCAAAGAGCACCAGAGACAGCAGAACCCGTTCCAGTTTATTATCTTCCACACCACGGGGTTCTGAGAGCAGATGCAATCACCACAAGGTTGAGAGTCGTCTTCAATGGCTCCAGCCCCACTTCATCAGGAACGTCACTCAACGACATTCTACATCCAGGTGGAAAACTTCAGACCAACGCCATGCACGTTCTAACATGGATGAGAAAGCACAGGCTCGTGTTTGGCACTGACGTAGTCAAGATGTTCAGGCAAATATGAGTTCATCAGGACGATTGGGACCTGCAGAGAATTTTGTGGGTTGACGACAACAAACAGCAAATCTCCTACTAGCTCACCACCGTCACCTACGGGCTCAATTGCTCCCCATGGCTGTCTCTGAGAGTTCTCCAGCAGTTAGCAGAGGACGAGGGTCCACGATTTCCAGCAGCCGTCGAGACAATCACCAGAGGTCGTTACGTAGGCGACATCTACGGCGGAGCAGACTCACCAGCAGAACTCAAGGAGATAGTATGGCAGTTACAAGGACTTTGCCAGACAGGAGGCTTCCCTCTCCCGAAATGGAGCAGTAATTGCCCTCAACTCTTGCATGAGCTCGGTCTATCAACAGAGGAAGAAGTTATTCAGTTTGAAGAGTCCATCACCAAAGTACTGGGTCTGTGTTGGCATCAGTTGTCCGACACATTCCAGTACAAANTACTGGGTCTGTGTTGGCATCAGTCGTCCGACACATTCCAGTACAAATCCAGAGACTTCAAAACAGAGACGATCACCAAGAGAATTGTCTCTTCAGAGATAGCCCAGATCTTCGATCCTTTGGGATTCATCGCTCCAGTCGTCGTCCAGGGGAAAATTCTCCTTCAGGATCTCTGGAAACTCAAATGCAGTTGAGATGACCCCCTCCCCCAAGAGTACATTCACCGGTGGGAGTCATTTCGCCAGGAACTCACCGAACTAGATAACGTTTCAGTACCCAGATGGCTCAGACTCTCACCTACAGACAAACGACATCCAATTACACGGATTCTCAGATGCCTCAACAGTAGCTATGAGTGCTGTGGTCTACATTCGCACTCAGAATCTCAACGAGCCAGCCTCCACAGTTTTGGTCTGCGCTAAGACCAAGGTAGCACCGATCAAGCGCATAACTATTCCACGTCTGGAACTTACTGCAGCTCTCCTGTTAACTCAACTCGTAACATCAACGCAGCAGATGCTCCAGCTAGACCAGGTAGAAACTCACCTTTGGTCAGACTCAGCAGTAGCTCTCGCGTGGATCAGGAGTCCGGCCTCGAGATGGAAAGACTTCGTCCACAACAGAGTGGTAAAAATCCAAGAAACTCTCGAATTTCGAGAATCCAGCCGAGTGCGCCTCCAAGGGCATAACACCAAGTCAGCTAGCAGATCATCACCTCTGGTGGACAGGACCAGATTAGATAAATTAGGACCCTGAAGACTGGCCACGATCAACTATCGATGCTCCACCAATGGACATCCCAGAAGTGGCCAAACAAGCGAAACCAGCAAAATCTCACCCAGTCGTGCAGAGAATCAACGAGATTGCCGAGGTCCTCAACAGATACAGCACGATGGCAAAGCTGTTAGTAGTAACAGCGACCATCAACAGGGCCATCGATAGATTCAGGAGGCCGCCAATGCCCCCGGGATCTATCTTGACGATCAGAGAACTCAACGATGCGAGATTATTTTGGGTAAAAATAACACAACACCAGTACTTTGTTTCAGAACTCAGGGTACTTCTCAGAAATCAGCAGCTACCTCGAAATCACCAGTTAGCGAAATTCACCCCAACTCTGGACGAGGAGGGCATCATGAGACTTGGGGGACGCCTCAAGAACTCAGAACTCCATCCAGAACAGATCCACCCAATAATCTTGCCACGTCAGTCCAGATTCACCACACTCGTCATCGCAGAAGCTCACCAGAAGACCCTCCACGGAGGGACACAGCTCACCTTGGCCTACACTCGGCAACGCTATTGGATACTCGGTGGCAGGGGCACAGTTAGAGCCTACATCCTACGCTGTGCTATCTGCGCCAGACACCGAGCTAGACAGGCTCAGCAACAGATGGGTCAATTGCCCGCAACCAGAGTCTCACCAGCAAGAGCATTTCTCCACACGGGGGTGGACTATGCAGGTCCTTTCGCCATCCTCAAGTGGAGACCCACGAATGCTCAACCGGGATCAGTGCACATCGCAGTGTTCGTGTGCTTCACCACGTCAGCAGTTCACCTAGAGCTCGTCAACAGGCAAACCACAGAAGCCTTCCTCGGAGCTTACAAGAGATTCACCGGAAGACGAGGTATTCCAGCAGTCATGTACAGTGACAACGCCACCACCTTCGTCGGAGCAGCAGATCAACTCGAAAGGCTCTATCACCATCCATCTAAAGAAAATCAACTTGTTCAGGCTGCTCTCGCCACCAATGGGACTCAGTGGAGCTTCTCACCACCTAGAGCACCCCATTTTGGTGGCAAATGGGAAGGAGCAGTAAAGTCAACAAAGCATCACCTTAAGAGAGTCCTGAGGAACTCAACACAGTCTTAGTTCAGATTGAAGCCTGCCTAAACTGCAGGACAATCTGTCCGATGTCAGACGACCCAGAAGATCTCCAGGTTCTCACCCCAGGACCCTTCTTAATCGACGAGCCTCTACAGATAGTACCAGAGTCATCCTACGTTGACGAGAATCCCCTCAAGATGAGGAGATGGAACCTCGTGACTCGGATAGTTCAGCAGTTCTGGTCCAGGTGGTCCAAAGAGTGTCTCCAACGATACCAGGCTATCTACAAGTGGAAGACACGTCAGCAGAACATCGAGGTTGGTAACATGGTGCTGATGGTCGACGATAACCTTCCACCAGCCCAGTGGCCAATCGCCAGAGTCATCGCGACTAGACCAGGAGCAGATGGGCTCACCAGAGTAGCCACAGTCAGAACGAGCAAAGCAGAAGTCGGCAGTCATCAAGATGGGTCGCCTAATCTCCAGAACATCACAGCAGCCCACTCGGTGTTTGACAGACCAATCACCAAGCTCTGTCTGCTTCCTACAGACCCACCTACACCAGAACAACCTCCAGAAGAAGATCACCCAGATGATGAAGACGATCAACAGCAAGGGGACATCCAGGAACTGCAGGACTGAGAGTTAAGTATCATCTTCCATATGTTTTTTAATTTGGCAAGTGATACGTCTCTCACCCTGTTTTTCTCCCCTTAGCAAGCATCAGCAGAAACCAGATCCAGTAATTCAACAACTTGATGTTGAATGCCCCCGGGGTGTTTGAAACGCAGTTAAAATTCAGTAAATCAACGGTTGACCACAGATCGGCCACTTACGAAAATCTTCGGGAAACCTCGGGTCAACGGTCAGGCCTAGTCAATCACCGAATCTCAGAGTCAGCCGTAGTCAGTCGTAGAGAGTCGTCGCAAATGAGTTGAACGAGCAGTATATCGTTTTTCTAAAGCTACTTTCGGTTGTCCGAACAGCGTCAGTACATCACCCGTTCGAGACATTTTGTTTTCTCAGTACATCTCCTATTTAAATTCTCAGTACAGTCTCCTATTATTCAGTATATTATTCAGAAAATCTCCAGTGTTAAATTCAGAACAGTTTGAATTAATTTCAGTGACAATTAACAGAGTGTAACAAGTGACGCTAGGGTGGTTCGATTCCATCGAATAAATCAGTATATTTTTTATAGACTCAGTACGTTCGTTTTTCACCGGCATTTCCACTACCTCTTTCCCAATCCACCCTAAATTCAGTTTTCCCTCGAAACAACGTCTTGTGATGAAATAATCTATGTTCAGTAGTTTATTAAATAATTACAAAAATGTAATTAACATTTTTATGTAATTATTTAATAAACTATTGGGTTTACGTTATTACACCATAAAACTTTTTTTGTAGAAAATTTGATTTTCCACAAAAAAGTTCTTTTGGCAAAATGCTGCGAATCCACTTTTTTATGAGATAATTGCCCAAATATTTTTTTTCAGCAAAATTTCACGAAAATCGAAAACCATACTCTTCCCATTTTTGGAGTCATCGTTTGATTGTGAATCATCTTTTGAACAAAGGATTTTATTGGATTTTGTCAGAAGACTTTTTCGTGGTAAATTTAACTTACAACAAAAAATATCTGTTCGAAATGCAGCTTAAATCTCGATATTTGTCACGGTCAACTAACTCGGCCATCTCCGAAAATCTCCGTGACCCCTCGGGTCAACGGACACAGGTTAGCGCGGAACCCGGAAGAGTCACTCCCGCGACAAATATGGTGGTGGCGATGGTGGTCGGAAGAGTCAGTCACTTCAGTTGTGTTTCAGTATCGTTACGATAATGATATAGTAAGGTCAATCAATTAGTATTCCAAATTTAATACCTTTGTTAAGTACATCAGCTTGTTGAATAAATTCAGTTTAAATTCAGTGACTCAACGAATTAAAGTCAAAAGACAATCATCAGTGTAATTAGACACTCACCAGTGAAATTACTTATTACCAAAGAGTGTACATAAATTTCGACAAGTGGTTCGATCCCACAAAATAAATAGTGATATTTTTAAATCCAGCTCATAAGTAATTTTCCCAACATCTCCCTCCACATTTTCATCCCACATCCACCCTAAACACCCTAGTCATTCACCAAACAATATCTTAAGAGAAATTTCCGTAACTCTCTTTAGTTTCGAGATAATTAGCAATTAAACAGTTGTCTCAAAAATGGGAAAGGGACGGGCTTTGACTTTCGTGGATTTTTTTGTTGAAAAACACTTTGTTGAGGCTTCAGCCTTACGTCACGGCAGGTTGGTCCACTGACCACGAGCGATAGCACCTCCTGGACACGGACCTGAGTTACCGACAGTGTCCAATTAATTGGGACCGACGACACCTGCCGCGACACTTGTCCCATCTCGTCACTTCCGCCTTCTTTTCTAATCGCATGGCGACAAGTGCTCACCGCATATTTTATCTCCACTATTTAATCGTGAATTATTGTGAACACCTCCACCGTGTAAACTCTCTAATTGATTTCAACTAAGTGTTAACGATTAGTTGTCATTGTGACGCGAATATTTTTCGAGCTTTGTGTATCTTTTGTGAGAAATATAGATTTTTAATGTGACTCTANTTGTAGTCACTGAAACCTGGCTATCCGCTGCCATACCCAGCTCAGTTCTCAATATTCCTCATTACAATTTATTAAGATGTGATCGAAATGTGCATGGTGGGGGTGATGCCATCTATTATCATGATACTGTCAAGGCCACTATAATCTCTGCCTCAACCACCATCTGGACTGGGAAGCCTGGACATGTTGAATATCTCTTCTGTGAGATCCAGCCGATGGGTTCGTCGCCAGTCTTCGTTGCTGCCATCTATCGCCCCCCTCATGCTCCATTTAATGNATCTCCGAAAATCTCCGTGACCCCTCGGGTCAACGGACACAGGTTAGCGCGGAACCCGGAAGAGTCACTCCCGCGACAAATATGGTGGTGGCGATGGTGGTCGGAAGAGTCAGTCACTTCAGTTGTGTTTCAGTATCGTTACGATAATGATATAGTAAGGTCAATCAATTAGTATTCCAAATTTAATACCTTTGTTAAGTACATCAGCTTGTTGAATAAATTCAGTTTAAATTCAGTGACTCAACGAATTAAAGTCAAAAGACAATCATCAGTGTAATTAGACACTCACCAGTGAAATTACTTATTACCAAAGAGTGTACATAAATTTCGACAAGTGGTTCGATCCCACAAAATAAATAGTGATATTTTTAAATCCAGCTCATAAGTAATTTTCCCAACATCTCCCTCCACATTTTCATCCCACATCCACCCTAAACACCCTAGTCATTCACCAAACAATATCTTAAGAGAAATTTCCGTAACTCTCTTTAGTTTCGAGATAATTAGCAATTAAACAGTTGTCTCAAAAATGGGAAAGGGACGGGCTTTGACTTTCGTGGATTTTTTTGTTGAAAAACACTTTGTTGAGGCTTCAGCCTTACGTCACGGCAGGTTGGTCCACTGACCACGAGCGATAGCACCTCCTGGACACGGACCTGAGTTACCGACAGTGTCCAATTAATTGGGACCGACGACACCTGCCGCGACACTTGTCCCATCTCGTCACTTCCGCCTTCTTTTCTAATCGCATGGCGACAAGTGCTCACCGCATATTTTATCTCCACTATTTAATCGTGAATTATNTTGTAGTCACTGAAACCTGGCTATCCGCTGCCATACCCAGCTCAGTTCTCAATATTCCTCATTACAATTTATTAAGATGTGATCGAAATGTGCATGGTGGGGGTGTTGCCATCTATTATCATGATACTGTCAAGGCCACTATAATCTCTGCCTCAACCACCATCTGGACTGGGAAGCCTGGACATGTTGAATATCTCTTCTGTGAGATCCAGCCGATGGGTTCGTCGCCAGTCTTCGTTGCTGCCATCTATCGCCCCCCTCATGCTCCATTTAATGTCCCAGTGAATTTCACTGAGCTTCTGTCAACTGCACTGGATGGCTACAGTCACAAAATCATCATAGGGATTTCAATANAGAGTGTACATAAATTTCGACAAGTGGTTCGATCCCACAAAATAAATAGTGATATTTTTAAATCCAGCTCATAAGTAATTTTCCCAACATCTCCCTCCACATTTTCATCCCACATCCACCCTAAACACCCTAGTCATTCACCAAACAATATCTTAAGAGAAATTTCCGTAACTCTCTTTAGNTGGTTCACCTCAGACTGCCCGATGGCTGCAGGACACCACCTGATCTCCGCCTCTGTGGCTATCGGTGGCACTAAGCCTTGTGCATCGGTTATCTCTACTCGTCGTTTATCTCTTCTTCTGAGGGCTGATGTCATTGACAGTTTTCGGAGGACTCTATTGGGCACTCCAATGCCTCCACAGCCCGATCCTGATGGGTANACCAAACAATATCTTAAGAGAAATTTCCGTAACTCTCTTTAGTTTCGAGATAATTAGCAATTAAACAGTTGTCTCAAAAATGGGAAAGGGACGGGCTTTGACTTTCGTGGATTTTTTTGTTGAAAAACACTTTGTTGAGGCTTCAGCCTTACGTCACGGCAGGTTGGTCCACTGACCACGAGCGATAGCACCTCCTGGACACGGACCTGAGTTACCGACANTCCAGTACTTGTACCGACGGTTCAAGCGCAGCAGAACATCCCAACGGCTCGTTGAGTTCCGGCTGGCCAGACGTCTCCATCTCTCTGTGCTTGCTCAGANTGCCGCGACACTTGTCCCATCTCGTCACTTCCGCCTTCTTTTCTAATCGCATGGCGACAAGTGCTCACCGCATATTTTATCTCCACTATTTAATCGTGAATTATTGTGAACACCTCCACCGTGTAAACTCTCTAATTGATTTCAACTAAGTGTTAACGATTAGTTGTCATTGTGACGCGAATATTTTTCGAGCTTTGTGTATCTTTTGTGAGAAATATAGATTTTTAATGTGACTCTACCCACGCGCACAGTGACATTGTTCTTATTNCTCTCTGT